GGGCTGTGACGACCGTTTGGGGGTCAGAGGGGCTGTTTTGGGGGGGCTGTTCCTGGGGGGCTGCAGGGGCTGTATGGACCAGGCTGGGGGGTCCATAGAGCTCCGTGAAGCTCGCCCTGACCCCCCTCTCCACAGGGGGGGCCGGATTTGGGGGCATCCCCGGGGGGGGTGGGGGCCGTCCTGCGGACCCTGCTGGGGGACCCCGGGGACCCCCCCGGGCCCATCACCCCCACCCCCAGGTGAGGGGGCTTGGGGGGTTTAAAGGGGAGGTTTTTTGGGGGGCTGGAGGAGATGGGGGGAGCTGTGGGGTGTTTTGGGGCTCTGGGGGAGCCTTGGGTGGGTTTGGGGGGACTGGGGGGTATTTGGGGAGCTCAGCCTTGGGGAGCTGTTTGAGGGGCTGGAGGGGATTTGGGGGAGCATTTGGGGGCTCTCAGAGGGGTTTTGGGGAGCTTCAAGGGGGTTGAGAGTTTGGGGGGAGTCACGGAGGTGCTGTGGGCAGTTTGGGGGTGCCCCCAGTCCCCCAACAGCGGTCTTCCCCCAGCGGCCTGGCCAGCATTGCCCGCACCCTGAGCATCCACCAGCAGTACTGGGGCTGCCTGCAGAGCACCGGTGAGAGGGGACCCAAAGTCTGAGGGGGACACCCTGAAATCCCGGGGAGGCCCTTTGAACCCCTGAAAACAGCGTAAGCCTTGGAGGAGGAGCTGTCGTGGCTGCCAGGCCACCGTGTTGGCTCGCTGCCATCTTGGCTCCTCTCACGGACCCCCCCAGACAGCCCCAAAGGCCCCTCAGGGATCCCCAAACTCCCTTGGGGATCCCCAGACCCTCAGGGACCCCCGAAATCTCCACCGGGGACCCCAAAATTGGGTGCGAGTGCATTTTGGGTGGCCCCCCCTGAGGTGCTCTGCATCACACAGAGATCGAGGAGGAGGAGGAGGAGGAGGAGGAGGAGAAGGAAGAGGAGGAAGAAGCGGAGGCAGAAGCAGGGGAAGAAGAGGAGGAGAACGAGGATGAGGATGAAGGAAAGGAGGAGCTGGAGGGGGATGGGAACCCCCCAGAGACCCCCCCGGAGCCACCGCCAAGAGCCCGAGTGGGGTTGGTCTACGACCCCCGCATGGAGGAGCACAGGAACACCTGGGACAGGTGAGGGAGGGGGCTGGGGGTGCCCGGGGTGGTTTTGGGGCGCTCTAGGTGACCGTGGGTGTTTTTGGGTGTCCGCAGCCAGCACCCCGAGTGCCCGCAGCGCCTGTCGCGGGTGCTGCAGCGCCTGCAGGAGCTGGGGCTGGCCCAGCGCTGCCTCCCGCTGCCCTCCCGGCCCGCGACCCCCCGGCAGCTCCACGCCTGCCACACGTGAGGGGCAGGGGAGGGTCTGGGGGTCCGTGGGGGTGGCCCAGGGGTGGGGAACGGGGGGGCTTGGGGGAGTTCTGGGGAGGGGTCCCTGACCGGGAAATTTGGGGGGATTCTTGACTGAGGGGTTCGGGGGAGGTTGGGGGTGTCCCCAGTGGGGGGGATTTGGGGGGGTCTCCGAAGGGAGGGATTCGGGAATCTCTGCCAGGGCAGTCTGGGGTCCCTGCCCGGGGAATTGGGGGTGACCCGGGTGTTTTGGGGTCCCTGCCCCCCAGCCGTGCCCACGTGCGGACGCTGTCCCGGACGCCGTCGCTGTCCCCGCGGGAGCTGCGGGCGCTGTCCCAGCGCTACAACAGCCTCTACCTGTGCCCCCAGTCCTACACCTGTGCCCGCCTGGCCGCGGGCGGGGCCTGCGCCGCTGTGGGGGCCGTGCTGGGGGGCCAGGTGGGCACGGGGGAAAAAGCAGATGGAGCCCTGCTGGGCTGCCCTGGTCCCGTTGGGGTTTGGGGGTTTTATGGGGTTGGGGCAGTGTTACGGGGTTGGAAGCGTTTCTGTGGGGTCAAAGAACTCTCTATGGGGTTTGGGGTTGTCTGTAGGGTTTAGGGGTTGCAGTGGGGTCAGGGGCATCTCAGAGGGGTTTGGGGGTGTTTGTAGGGTTTGGAGAGGTCTGTGGGATTTGGGTATCAGAGTGGGGTTTGGGGGTACCTGGGGAGGGGGGGTACCAGTGGGGTTTGGGGATCTCTGTAGGGTTTAGGAGGATCTGTGGTTTCAGGGTCTTGTGAGGTTGTGGGGGTGGGTCTCTATGGACTTCAGGAGTCCCTGTGGGATCTGAGGGTCTCTGTGGGGTTTTGGGGAGGTTACAGCGGGGTCTGTGGAGTCCCTATGGAGTTCTGGGGGTCCCAATGCCCCCCTGACGCTGCCGTGCCCCCCAGGTGCGCTCGGCGCTGGCCGTGCTGCGTCCCCCCGGCCACCACGCCCGCCCCGGCTCTGCCGGCGGCTTCTGCCTCTTCAACAACGTGGGGGTGGCCGTGCGCCACGCCCAGCGCCTGGCAGGGACCCCCCTCAGGTACGGGGGGACCAGGGGCTGCGGGGACCCCCCCGGGGTGCCCACCCCCCCCAACACCCTCTGTGCCCCCCAGGGTGCTGATCCTAGACTGGGACATTCACCACGGCAACGGCACCCAGGAGATCTTTGAAGAGGACCCCAGGTGGGGGGTCCAGGGGACGCTGAGTGGGTCTGGGGGTCTCAAGCAGGTCCCAGGGGTTCCGGGGGAGATCCTGTGGATGTTGGGGGTCCTGGGGAGGGGACTCTGGGGATCCAGGGTGTGCTGGGGGTGCTGGGGAGGGGTCAAGGGGCTTTGGGGGCTTTGGGGGTGCTGCGGGGAGTTTGGGCTGCTTTGGGTTAGTTTTAGAATCACAGGGGATTTTGGGGTGCCGGGGGGTTGTCTCAGGGCTGCTGTGGTTTGGGGTCCTCTGGGTTGGATTTGGGATCCCGAGGGGATTTTGGGATGCTCTGGGGAGAGGTTTTGGGGTCCCTGACCCCCCCCTGCCCCCCGCAGTGTCCTGTACGTGTCCCTGCACCGCCATGACGGCTCCTTCTTCCCGGGGGGGGCCGGGGGGTCCCCGAGGCGCCGGGGGAGGGGTCCTGGCACCGGCTTCACCCTGAACGTTGGCTGGGGGGGGCCCCGCGTGGGGGACCCCGAGTACCTGGCGGCCCTGACCCGCCTGGTGCTGCCCGTGGCCTGCCAGGTGAGGGGGGGGCTGGGACCAGTGCGAGGGGGGCTGGGGCTGTTTTGGGGGCAAGGTCTCTGTGGGAGGAGTGGGACCCTTTGTGGGGGGAGGATCTGGGGTTGTTTGGAGGGGATATGGGTCCATTTCAGGGGCGGTTGGGAAGGGTCGTGTCCCTTTCGGGGGGCCTGGGTCCCTCCAGGATTTTGGGGCGGGTTCTGGGTTGGTTGGGGGAGTCTGGATATGATTTCAGCGGGCTGAGCCTTTCTGGGAATCCTTTTTGGGGGGGTCTTGGGTTCATTTTGGGGTTTGGGTCCCATGAGGGAGCTGTTGTGACGTTTTGGGGGGGTCCTGGCTCCATTTGGGGGGGGGTCTGTGCCCCCTATTTGGAGCCGTTGTGTTTCGGGGGGCCGGTGGGGCTGTCCCGCCCCCTGTGCCCCCCCTGACGGCCGCGGCCCCCCCAGTTTGGGCCAGAGCTGGTGCTGGTGTCGGCCGGGTTCGACGCGGGCCGGGGAGACCCCCTGGGGGGGTGCCTGGTGTCCCCCCAGACCTTCGGCCTCATGACCCATCTCCTGGGGGGGCTGGCAGGGGGACGGCTCGTGCTTGTGCTTGAGGTGAGGGGGTGCCCAAAGGGGGCTGGGGTCCCCCTGGGGGGCTGTTCAGGGCTTGGAGGGTCCTGGGGGCTATGGAGGTCCCCGTGAGGGGTTGGAGAGACCCTGGGAGGGTCCTGGGGACTCTTTGGGGAGATGGGAAGACCCCGGGGGGTTTCTTTGGGGGTTGGGGGGTCTGGGGGAGGCCTGGGGGTCCCACTTGGGGGGCAGAGGAGGACTGGGGGGTCCCTCTGGGGGGTATGGGAGTCACTGGGGGGACAGGGCTCTCCTTGGGGGGATGCTGGGGATCCTACCGGGGGGGAGGCCGGGGGTCTCTGACTTTGGGGTCTCGCAGGGCGGGTACAACCTGGCAGTGACGGCAGAGGGGGTGGGGCAGTGCCTGGGGGTCCTGCTTGGGGACCCCCCCACACTGCCCCCCTCCGGGACCCCCCAGCCAGTGGCACTGAAGGCCCTGAGCCGCACCCTGCGAGCACAGCGGGGCTCCTGGAGCTGCCTGCAGCTGCCTCGTGGTGAGACCCCTCCCCAGAATATCCCCCCCCGTGTCCCTGAGACCCTCAAATGCCCCCCGGGACCACCAACACCCCCAGGACCCCGACCTTCCCTGTGCTCCCCCAGATCCCCAAACTATCCCAGACCTACAGGGACCTCCAGGACCCCCTCAAGCCCCCCAGTTCTCAGCTCTGAACCCCTAAACACCCCCTGGGACCCCCTAACTCTGAATGGGTCCCCTCACCCAGAACCCAAGCCAGCCCCACGGGGCCCCCCCAGCCCCATCACCCGTTGGAGCCCCTCGGGGGACACCCCCAAATTTCCTCCAACCAATCCCTCCCTTCCCCAGTTGAGCCCCCCAAGGAGGGGCACGGCAGCGATGATGTCACATCCACCGCCGATGACGTCACCGGCTCTCCCCCCCTGGACGCCGCCATTCGCCGCTTGGGGGCGCTGCAGCTCGGGGACGCGCCGGGGGGCGGGGCCAAAGCTGGCTCGGGGGCGGGGCCTCCGCTAGGCCACGCCCCCGCGGCCGCTGCCGCCCCCTGCTGGGAGGAGGAGGAAGAGCTGGAGGAGGTGGGGGTGGGGAGGGGATTTGGGGAGGGGATTTGGGATGGGAAGGGTTGTTCGGGGGATCTGGGAGAGGGGGTTTCTGGCAATGGCACATTTGGGGAAGAGGGATTTTAGGGAGTGGGAATTTCGGGAGGGGGTTCGGGGACAGGGTTTTCGGGGAGGTTTGGGGTGGGTTTTGGGGGGTGGATTTAGGAAGGAGGAATTGGGGAGTAGGTTTGGGGAGGAGGATGTGGGGCGTGAGGATTTTGGGCCCCAGCAGCACTTACACTCGTTCCTGCGGGCTGGCAGGGAGCGCTGTACGCCGTGACGCCCCTCCTGGACTGTCCCCACCTGGGGGCCGTGGCCCCCCCTCCGGCCGAGGGGGCTCTCGGGGACATCCTGCCCCCTCCCTGCGGGGTCTGCGGGAGCCGCCGCGAGAATTGGCTGTGCCTGAGCTGCCACCAGGTCAGAGACCCTCAAAAATGCTCCCTGCACCCCCAACCCACCCCCGGCACTGCCTGGACCCCGAAAGCAACCGAACCCCAGCCCAGGTCACCCCCAAACCCCAAAAGCAGCCGGAAATCACTTCCTGCTCCCAACTCCTCCAATTCACAAAGTGCCCCAGAATGTCCCCAGATGACCCCAGAAACCCCTATACCCCCAGAAACCTCGTCCTGCATCCCAAATCCACCCCGTGCACCCCAGAACTGTCCCCTGCCCCTTGTCCTGCTCCGCCGCCGCGCCCTCAGGGGCCCCAGCTGCTCCCCCAAAGGCCCCCCTGCCCCTCAGGTGCTGTGTGGGCGCTACATCGGGGGGCACATGCTGGAACACGGGGGGGCCTCGGGGCACCCCCTGGTGCTGAGCCTGCGGGACCTGGCGGCCTGGTGCTACCCCTGCGGGGGCTACGTCACCCACCCGGTGGGCCGGGGGTCCTGGGGGCGTTGTGGGTCATGGGGGGGCTCTCCCTGCACGGGGGGTCGGGGGGGGACTTTAGGAACGAACCATTGTTACCGGGGGTGGGGGGGAGGGGTAACAGTGGATAAAGCACCGTGAGTGTGGGGTGAACCATCGCGGAATGGGGGACACCAGGATGAAGCACTGAACTGCTGGGGTGGGGGTGGTGCTGGACTGAACCACTGCAG